GGGGGGTGTCACGCAAGCCCAGGGTGGGAGCGGGTGTCTGGCTGTGTCGCCCATCCTCCGTGTCCCCGCCCGGAGCCGCCATCGCTGCCAGCAGGACCCTCGTCCCCTGCGAGGAGCTTCGTCAGCTCCAGGGCTGGTCTGTCCCAGCCTGAGCTGGGGATGCCCTGAAATTCGGGGCGCGGGGGGCAGGCAGCTCCCAGCCTGGCGAGGGTCACCCTGGGGGTGGCAGGAGCCCCTTACAATCTCATCCAAGCAGCGTCTGCGTCTGCGTGCGTCTCTTTGCTGCTCTACTGGGATCTGGAGACCGTTCCCACCTCCGTCCCTTGCTGGGCTGAAGGCACCCACAGAATCACACAGAATCCTGGCATGTTCGGGGTTGGCAGGGACCTCTGTGGGTCACCCAGCCCAACCCCCTGCCCAAGCAGGGTCACCCAGAGCAGGCTGCACAGCACCGCGTCCAGACGGGGCTGGAATATCTCCAGAGAAGGAGACTCCACAGCCTCCCTGGGCAGCCTGGGCCAGGGCTCCGTCACCCTCAGAGGGAAGAAGTTCTTCCTCATCTTCAGCTGGAGCTTCCTCTGCTTCAGTTTGTGCCCCCAAAACCCTGGGCTGAGAGCAAGGCATCCCTGTCCTTGGGTGGTCGGCAGTGCCGGTGCTGGGGAGCCCTGAGGTATCACAAAGCCCTTGCTCCGACCTTGCTGCCCCGTGGGGTTGGGTGCGGGGGCAGGCTGGGTGCCGGCGCGGCAGGGAGCACGTGGTGGTCCTCTTTTGCCTGCACCGTGTGCGGGCTGGGTCGCATCCATCCCAGCTGCGAGCCCTCGCTGTGTCCCTCTGCCAGAGACCAAACCTGTCTGAGGACCGGCCCGAGCCCACCATGGGATGCGTCCGTTTGTCCCTCGTCTGGTGGCTCTGCCCTCCCCTCCATGGTGCTGCCTGTCCTGGCAGAGCCCGGGACGCTGGGAGCGGGCGCGTCGCCCACCGCAGTGGGACCGATGGGTTTGGGGCATGGGGACACTTAACACTGGGACTGTCCTGTGCCACCAGTCCCCGCGAGGGAGGGACGCTGGTCCCCAGGCACTGGGGGGGGGGACAGCCCTCCAGGACTGATGCTGGAGGGAGGGGGGCCAGGGTCCGGCCACCATCCTCGTGTTCAGACCTGCGCTGAGCAGCGCTTTATTTCTTGCTAAAAGCCTTAACGGGACCCCCTGGGCCCCCCCTCCGTGGGGAGAAGGATGCAGCGCTGGGCGAAGGCCATGCTCTGGTGGGGGGGACTCAGAAAAGGCACCGGGAGGGTACGTGTGGCATTGTCCCCCCTGTGCAGTCATGTCCCGGACAGCCTGGGGTCCCTGCTTGGACAGCCTGGCACTGGTGGGAGAAGGATCCTGCCGAAATCAGTGCCAGTGCCCAGTGGGTGCAGGGACCCCCACCTTGCCCAGGGCCCGGGGCCGGCACCCCAGC